GATAGATAGATAGATAGATAGATAGATTATACTATATATTATAAATATATAGATAAATAAATGAATAATAAGAAATTAAAAAAAAACAACTATCGTTTCCACAGTAATGTTCGTGGTGACGTGCCTGTTCCTGCCCCACCCTATCATCGTGACTGTGGTCATGGGGCAGGTGCTGATGATCGTTATCGGCGTGTTTGGCTACATGAGCATCTGGGGGCTCAGCCTGAGCTCCATTACCATGATACAGATCATCATGAGCGTGGGATTCTCCGTCGATTTTTGGTACGCTGTGTTTTATTTTCATTTCTTTGGTTCCTGTTCTACGCGGCGTCTGTAATCTCGTCGCTACACCAGAATTACAAAGTTCTATGTGCTCAGTACCCAGTTTTGAGAAATTTGACTTTAATAATTTTGAAAATCACTACGTGTCTAGCTGTTTCGAATGCAATTCTTTGAACATATTGATAGCGACTCCGAATAATCTTAAGATTTTGATAGAGCAGACAGAACGTTTGGTTTCTGACCTCATGGTCGTAGTAATTCAAAACAGCCAAAAGTGTCAGATAGAACTTTTGTAATTCTAAGGTATTGTAGTGGTTAGGCTACCGGACCCGTAATTGTGAGATTGTAGGTTCGGAGGTTCAAGCATCTGCTCAGTCCGACTTTGTGTCCGTTGGAAAATTACTTTACACCAATTTCCTATTATGGCTCGGTCCTTTCAGAGATGGACGTTGAACTCGGAGGTCGCGTCTTTTCAGTAATCTGATAGTGTTGATATGGGCATGTACCATTTCACCATTTTTCACGGTTTCTTTATTGTATTGATGCCAGATGTTAGTTGAGTATACGACATAAGGTTGATTTGATATTGTTTTATAGAGGAAAGTTTCTTGAAAGTTGCTGCTGATACTGCTGAAATTGCAGCCCCTGAAGAAAGATATGTATCCAGAAAGATGATGATGATGATGATGATGATGATGATGATGATGATGATGATGATGATGAAGACGATGATTTGATACAGCTCATACTTCACTTTATCTGCCGCTTATACCGTAAGGCGTTGCGGAGAGGTAGAGTGTTCCGACATTGTGTCTAAGAGACTATGATACCCGTCTCCTAAATGATCTAAATTGTGTTGAAATGGGTAGATATGGGGCTAAGTGTATGTTTAACGATTGTTGTACTTTATCACGATGATCTAGATAAACACGAGCGTGGGATTCACTGTCGACTGTTGGCACAGTATTTCATTTTAAGTATATCGTAAAGTCGAGCTCCCTGTCTCCAAAGTGATCTAGATTGTGTTGACAGGGTGAAAATAGGAAGAGGGCTCTGCGTATGTACTGGTTTATGTTTTCAGAGTCGATTAGTCAGAAGTGCAATTCGTTCAAAGACAAACAAATAGTGTAACGGGAACAGAAAAAATAACAACCACAAAACAAACAGCAACAGTAACAACAGAAGCAACAGCAGCAACAACAGTAACAACAACTACTACAATTTAACTACAAAAATAAATAACAACAAAAAAAACCCCAAAAAACTACAAATATTTTATTGCTGTTAGGTTGACATTTATTCTTCATTGTCTCCCCCCACCTAGCGCTCACGTGTGTACGGCCTACATGATCTCCGACTCGCCAACCCGCCGCGGACGTGCCACAGAGGCTATGATCGATGCATCCGGCCCCATTCTCAACGGAGGTATTTCCTCCATCATCGGCCTCATCGCCCTCCTCTTCACCGAGTCGTATATCTTCCAGTCTTTCTTCAAAATCATGTTCCTCGTGATAGGCTTCGGTACGGCCCATGCAGTGCTTCTCATCCCAGTTGTTCTATCATTTATTGGACCCGAGGCGCGCCCAAGAATACGAGACGAGTACGCGAATAATGATGACGCTATACCAAGTGATGATAATGTCAAAGCAAACGATGATGACGATGGCGTGGAGGAGGGATTCCACCCAAGCAATGACAAAAATATATCATTATCCGGGAGTGAAAGTCCCAAAAGTAATGACAATATAAAATTGTCCGAGAATGAAAGTCCTAAGAAAAAGGAAAACGAAGGAGGACAATACGAGACTACTGAAAACTTGTAGTGAATCATCAGAGAGTTTCCGTCCTTGTCCAGAAGGATTTACTGACGTTAGCAACAATTCAGAATTATCATAAAGCCTCGGGGACTTGGGTATGGTGTGGTTCAAACTTAAGAACCAACGTTTCACAATGAAACAAATCATACCCTTTGCTTCGTTCCATAGATAGCGTCTTATTGATGAGAGAAGTTGTCCATATTGCGTGCTTACGGAAGTCCAAAGCTTTAACAATAATAATTTATTTATAGAGTAGCGAGTTACATAATATGTGAGGCATCATGGTGAAATCTGGCGCTTGTCAAATTAATGAAATCGTAGACAACGACATTTTTCTTTCTGCTTGGCAATTTTTATCAAATTGTTTTAAAGACCTTTTATGTCCATTGGTGTGTGGCTTTTACTGAAAATCGTTGATTTAAGACACAAAAGGGTCAATTTACAGTTTCAAGGACTCTCAAACTTTTGAAGTCGCCAAACTTTGGCGGCGATTTTCTCTCTAATTTTACCTCTGAAAGCAGGTGACCCCCACCTCCTTCAATCCGAAATACATCGACTTCTATTGAAGATAGATGGATAATTTATTCATTGAAAGCAACACTATTGAGTAAGCTTTAAGATGATACCTACCAACAGCTCCACATGCCCAAAGATTGACGAGTGCCTCATTCCACCACGTCGTGACACATTATGTTTAGGGGATGTTTGCGCCTGTGTGGGACGTGTGCAATGACGCTGTTATAAAATTCCGGCGACAACTCGAGTTGGGACAAGTCTCATTGTTTACTCATTCTTTACGAATGCCTCTCATTGACATTTGTATGTACATGTCAATGAAGCAATTTGATTCCCTCAACTCTTGCCAACGCCGTGCTTTCGTCAAAAGTTGTTAAACCTAGGCAAGAAAGGTACATTGATTACACAGTTATCTCCCTTGGTACGGGCACAGTGTGCCGTGGGATCCAACGAAGAGCGCGCTCTTTCTGCTTCTTTTTTTCTGTTGTTGTTTGTTTTGTTTTTTTGCCATTTGATGACATTAGATAAATATATTTATAGTAAATTTAGAGATATTCAAAGTGGCCAAACTTGAGTGATTCAGTTTCTAAGATCCGTATAAATTATAAGATATCAAAGAAGGCAAAACAAAAAAAGCACCAAAAATATCAAAAAGCAAATTTTTCATCATTTTTGAGTACCTGACCTGCTGTGATGCTCTAAAGACCTTATTATCTAGGTCTTGTCACGTCACCTATCTGTTCAAGCTCTGTAAGTATGTTGTCCTTGTTGTACCTCTGCCTGTATTGCCTTCTGTTTTTCCAGTGAGGTCAAGATGTTCAAGACCATATGTTGACTCAAGTGTTCCAGTAACCGCGCGTATCTCTACCTTGTTGTTTATATTTGTGGTCGTCTTGCGCCAGCGTTTTTTCAGTTCTACACGATATCTGAACTCTATTCATTGCATGAAATGTTCAACAGTCTCCTGAGAAACCACATTTTCATTGTCCTCAGTTAATTTTTACTCTCCCCAGCGATTGTGCAGCACTCACAGCTGAACAGAAGGGTTGACCACACCTAGCCTATTTAAACCATTAATCTTTTGCCTCTGATATCTTTCTCTTGCTAAAGACTGGACGTAAACCCATATTGTGTGGTGGCCTTGGAAAGCTGAGTACATTGTCGGTTGCTCACATTTTAAACTGACCCTTCCTTATGACAACCCATTTACTTCCTTTCATGCGACAGTCGAAATCTTTAAAATACATGTAGCTACCACAATATGTTATAGAGTAACACATTTTACTGAGAAAAGCACTTTGGGGGGGGGGGGGAGTATTTCAAAAAGAGTAAAAGATGCTTCTGAATCGGAAAATATAAAATGTGAGCTTTCAAATATATTTCTGAGCGAGAGAGAGAGAGAGAGAGAGAGAGAGAGAGAGAGAGAGAGAGAGAGAGAGAGAGAGAGAGAGAGAGAAAGAGAGAGAGAGATTGGAAAACTACCAGATTTTTGCTAATGTTAGGACGATAAGACATAGATCTAGTGATAATAGTTCGTCCGTCAATATCTGACGATGATCAGTCCTTCCGGAGAGGAGAATATTTAAAGCTAATTAGAAGAAATAAGGACCAAGATGAATCGTGGCTTCTGTTTTGACTAGACATAGATTTATAAACCGAGTAAGGTGACTCGAGTTACGTTTGTTAAGTCACTTTTTCAATTACATGTACGTTATTTCTTTTACCGTAAACTTTCTGTTTCTACTTGCATTACCCAAATCTGGTTACTTCTATAGTATAGTATAGTATAGTATAAGGTTTTACGGCGCTCGCAACTGCTAAGGTCATATGAGCGCGCGAAACACAAGTTGTTCACCTCTGCGAAAGTTCACTTCACGACTGGTAACTAATTTACTTTAAAATGCTAAAAAGTTAAAATATTCAAATTCGGTAGTTACTTCTCTTTAAGAAAAGTAAAAGCAATGGCATGTAAGAGTGTTCAGGAGCAAACTCTGCAAAACAGAAAGCTCAAGAATTACTGTGGGTTAGATAATGAAAACACGGAGAGAATGTCAATGCTTCTCTGAACTCAGGGGTAACTTGTAGTTCTGTTTGTTTGTTTTTAATTGATAGTCGAACTATTTCTTTAAAAAAAATATTATATCGGTCCTCTTCTAATACCTCTGAAAAGTTAAATTCTTCTATGTGTTTTAAGCCTATGCCTGAAACATCAGCTATGCTCATTTAAGTATCACTTTTTATCTAATGCCGTCAGTATTTGAGTATCTTTTCTTCCTACTTACTTCTTTGATTTTGAAAAGCATGTTGCGTCTATCATCTTAAAATGATTCTTCTCTTTTCAAGACAAGACACTGATTTTTTATCCTGCTTTCTTTTGCTTCTTTATATTTTTCCGTTACTTTTCTATTTAAAGCTTTGTACTTTTCTACACCTGTTTTTACCCCCCCCCCCTTTTTTTTCTTCTGTCTGTCTGTCTGTCTGTCTGTCTGTCTGTCTGTCTGTCTGTCTGTCTGTCTGTCTGTCTGTCTGTCTGTCTGTCTGTCTGTCTGTCTATCTCTCTCTCTCTCTCTCTCTCTCTCTCTCTCTCTCTCTCTCACTCACTCTCTCTCTCTCTCTCTCCAATGCTTACTATTTCCCGCTTTTGACTCTAGATATTCTCTTTCTTTCTCTTTCATTTCTTCTAATATGTCATGGGTCACCCTTTTTGTAGTTGACTTCTTAGATTTTGTGGTAATGTTTTCTATCGTAACGTCATTCATTGAAGCCTTGATGATGTAAGGAAGAATATTATGCTGATGTGGCTGAGTGAGAACGTGTTCATCTTCAATTTGAGTGAAGACTTTGTACATCCTGCTGAGAGATCCTGGTCCATAATTTTTTCTTCAATGACTCATTAGCAAATACAAAACAGGAGTACACTTTAATCATACCATATAGGCCCCGGAATTTCAGGCCCCGCGTTTGAAGGAAATCTTGCCGCTTTCGCAATATATTTTATACTGCATCGAATCTTGTCTTTCTCAGCCGCCCTCTGATTCTGTTTGGTTCACCCTAATCTGGATGGTGAGCTGAGGAAAAATGTGATCTGAACAAACAACTTTATTCTTTGTTGATGGTCATGATGATCCGTCGTTGCGCCAACTATTTCGTCGAATACTGTGTGTGTTACAAATCGTATCACTTTTAGTCTTGAAACATTAGATTTTGCAGCTCAGTGTATTTCGCAAGTTGTTGATTTGCGTTTCTTGCTTCTGAAGTTTCAAAGTTTGGTATCATTCACCAATGTTGGAACAAAGACGGAAATATGGTTTGGGAAGCTAGGATATTTCAGTCCTGGGGTGAACTGGTACATGTATCTGGCATCATTAGCCTGTTGCATATTGGCTTCTGTTTCTCTGTACGTCTTTCCTTCTTCTATAAAGATACCTCTCTTCTAAACTCCTGAGGTTTGTGTTATTTTACGTTAATGTTTGAGTTATTTGGCGTTCTACTTATCTTCATTATCTCCTCAAGCAAAACTGTTTGGCTAAGTTAGCTATCGAATTTTCGCTTTGGCGAAATGCAGTATTTTCATTTGAGCAACACACATTCACCCCAGCTCCATAACAAGGTGCTGCACTGCAACGAAGTGCAATTGTGTTTGATTGTGTTTTATATTTATTGTTATGCATGTCATTGTTAATTAGATCTGCCATGTGAGATGAATAAAAGTGTCTTTTGTTATCTTTTTCCTGGTTTTGTTTCGATTTTGTTATGCTTATATATAGCCCATCATCAGACACATTTTGAAGACATAGCACATAATATTATCTCCATAAGGACAGAGAAAAAAGTGCATTACAATTCCCGAAAGGATATTTTGAAGTATGGATGGGAATTACTATTGGTAAATGGCTTTTGATAAATATCTAAACAAAGGATCGTGCTGTGGAGGCTTTTTGTGTAGTGAACAGTAATTTCCAGCAGCAGTTGACAAAAGCAACCACGAAGACACAGTACATGTGTGATACCTCTGCCAACAATAAAATCATTCTACTTATTTATCAGCATTTATTAAAACTACAATGCTTTAGAGTTTGCATTTTCAGCACTTTGGAACAATTCATTGGTTTTGATGGAATTTATTTCAATATAAAAGTGGTGCCAAATCACACAAGGTACATTCATATTAATCTTACTTTTGTGACTTCTACAGAGTGCTGTTTATTAGTTTTGTATTTCGCTTGACATTACTGAATCGACTTCTAGAAACAGAAGACACAACACGTTCATTCTTTGGTGTTAATGTAAGTTGTTGTCCTCTCTGCATCTTTTGGCTTAGAAAAAGAAAACCTTACTGTAATGACGTTGATGATAACAGTCACACACTGAGGTAACACTGGTAGGCTGTAACTCTTCTATCCACCCATTGTTCTTTTCACCTTTACTTTTGACTTCCATAACAAATTGTAAGCCAGTTGTTCTAAGCCTTACATTTTTAAAAAAAATAATTGCAGCTTCTTAACCTGTAGTATCGTTTGCAGTTTGTCGAAATTCACATTCCAAAAGTTGATAAAAAAACAGGAAATATACTGCATTGTATTTTTAAATGAATAAAACAGTTCTTTCTCTCTCTCTCTCTCTCTCTCTCTCTCTCTCTCTCTCTCTCTCTCTCTCTCTCTCTCTCTCTCTCTCTCTCTCTCTCTCGCTCTCTCTCTCCTGAAAAATGTTGCTATATGGTCTTATGCCACTTTCACAGGTTACTAACAATAAGAAAATAAGAATTATAATGATGATTACTGTGTCGACGTAAAGGAAAAGACGCAGGTACACACTAGAGTACGCTGCACCCACAACAACACTTGGCCGGGTAGCCGGGAGCATGAACTCTGTGCTCAAATCCGTAGACAAAGTACGAGTCCTTGTGGTCTTTGTACTCGTAGAACACCTGGGTGACCGGGATGATTCTTACTTGGTGGCGCTATGAGGGACGAGAAAACAACATATTATGTAATTGGTGTGTACAGGCTTTCCTTAATTTAAGCATGTAAATGATATACGCAAGGGGTATGGAAGGGGTCCTCAAAAAGGGCAATGATTTAAAATGGATCACAGGGCTTGAGTTCAAGATATCAGTCAGAGAGACTTTCAGGCGTTAGGCTGTCGCACGCAGGAGACCCGAGTTCGATTCCCAAGTGGGGAAAATCGTTCTCCGAACCGAGAGGCGAGAACTTTTTATTGAGTATCTTGTTCTTTCTGCCGGTATGTTGAATCCTTCTCAGTCCGGTAGACCCTGAGAGACATAACCAAAGCCCACCTTTTAAAAGATGTGTATTGTATCGACGGGGGATTTTAAAAACATCTTTTAATTTTTTTTCTTCAATTAAACAGTATTAGATGAACTTTGATGTTCATTTTCTGAAGGCATGAAAGACTCGTTTGACTCACCTGCATCAGAATTATCTCTGTGGGGAACTTGGAGCCGTGCTCACTGACCAGGTTGTTGGACGCACTGTTGATTTCTGGCTCCGGGAAGTGGTTCACTGGCCACACCTGTGCATGAGTAAAGCACAACGTACTCCTCACGAAAAGTCTCTGGGTTATACGTGACTAAGACATAAAATATCACATTACTGTACAATAGGCATGTTAACATATCGTATTCAACCCCCCCCCCCCAATAAACAAACACACAAACAAACAAATACACACACAAACACACAAACAAACAAAAACAAACAAAAACAAACGAACAAACAATCAAATAAACGAACAAACGAATGAACAAGGTTTAAAGAGAAAGAAAATACATTTTAAAAATCATCAAAATTTTCATGGTAGCTTTTGCTCCACCCATGGAGGAGACTCTGATTGACTCTGACTCAATCAAACAAATGGTCGCTTTTAAGGACAAGCGGGCTGACCCAGATTTCAGGGGTTTCCAGAAATTTTGACCAACACCAAAAGTGGGCATTGCCCTACCTATAGGAGAAGTTTGGTTCATCGGTGTGTATCTTTGTTTTGTTATTGAGAAAACTCTGTTTGTCTTTTAAAGAAACTGAACAAGGGGCAAAAACGTTACCTTTCTCAAAACAGCATTTTTCGGGATATCCCACATGTGCTTAAAGGCGACCAAATTTTTATTAGCAGTGTGCACTCAGTACAACAAAACACTGCAAGAACATATGTTATTATACCAAACACAGACTCTGTAGCACTCACCCGCGTCTGTGTCTCCTGGAAGACCTTATGTCCAGACACCCCCTTCACTAGCTCCACGGGCAGCGCCGTTTTCTCCACCACATGGTCTTCAGCATGGTTGGTCCTGATGGAAACAAAGTACACCCAAACTGAAAATGCTACGAGTAAATGCGCGCTCATATGACCTTAAGCACTTGCGAGCGTCGTAAAACACTTTCCCAAAATCCCCACAACCCCTCCCCTCTCAAACACATACATGCACAAAGTACACCCATGATGTTATTATGCTTTAAATGTGTAAGTTGACATTCAAAAAGGCTTTTTAAAAAAAACGTAAATCCTTTTTTATTCTGATTCAAATGACAAACATGGCGTGGTCTAGGTTTTTTTAAAATGTGTGTCTTTTTATGTCTCTATCAACACAAGTTGACTGCCATCTGCCTTTTGTGCCTGACAATACAGGGAGAGGAGAGATAGATAGAGAGAGACAGGGAGAGCGAGAGAGAGTGAGAGTGAGAGAGTCAGAGGGAGAGAGAGAGAGAGAGAGAGAGAGAGAGAGAGAGAGAGAGAGAGAGAGAGAGAGAGAGGGGGGGGGGGGGAGAGACATCATAGAAACGTAAAATGTAGGATAACGGGCAAAAACGCATTAATATTATTTTCTCAACAACGTTTGTCTTTTTTAAAAACATTTAAGCTGAACATAATATTACCATCATACTATTTCAGGCAGTGTTTTATGGTGGGACCGCGCACAATCATCACTGTAACTTCTACAATTATTATCATTATTTCTGCATCAATACTATCCTATTGTCATCATTATAATAATTAATTTTGTTGTCATTATCATTGTCATCACCCCCCCCCCCCTCCCATAAATCTAATAATCATTAGTATCAAACTGACTTTTTTCTTTCTTGTGCCGTGTGACATGCAGTAGGTCAGATAGTTACTTACCACTGGATTGTGAGCAGAATGAACCAGCGCAGGGATGCCTTCCCCTGACACTCGCTACACTGTGTCTGGCCCGCCCCATCACAATTGGAGCACCTGAGTGGCGGGATATCACATACACGCTGTGTTATAGTTATAGGAATAATAATGTTATTTTGTATGTTCCTCCAATAACCCGTGCATGTGTTCATGTGCGTGTGTGTGTGTGTGTGTGTGTGTGTGTGTGTGTGTGTGTGTGTGTGTGTGTGTGTGTGTGTGTGTGTGTGAGTGTGTGTGTGTACATTTTGATAGTATTATACTAAAAGCACACTCTCGACATCTTCTAAAGGACTGACAATAGCTGAATGTTATTAGGTCCACCTCTTGATGTCTAGAGGAATATAAAATCAAGACCAGACCCCCACCTCCCCCAACCCATTCTCCAATGTTCTGATGTCTCGATCGTGCTTTTTCGACCATTTTTACTCTCAGTTGAGCCTATTTAATTGGAAATACGAAGCTGAACATTTAATAAACTCGCACTCCTTTAAAATGAACATCATGTCGTGTGGTAATAATAGGTCGTTTATCAAGGTTTGTTACTATGATCCTCTTGAAGAAAGCAGAGATTTGAGGAAGGGGGGGGGGGGGGGGGAAGCAATGCAAAGGTAATGGATAAAATGAAAATAAAAGCAATCAGGAGAGAAAAAAAGGATAAAGAAGTAATGCAACGTTTCCCCTGCAAATATATACGAAACAGACATAATCTATTTATCAACAGAACGTTTCAAACGTTCCATAATAATAACGTGATTGTACAAACCGTTTAGTACCATCGCCATTACACTTTGTGCACGCTCTCTTCTTTTTCTCCCCTACTTCCTCATACTCCTCTTGGCCTGACCCGCGACAGGTGTTGCATTCAACCTTGGCAAGAGAAGAAATAAATTCACTTCTGTTACATCTAAGAATACAGTCAGTTTTTCAAATTCTATTTTAAAGTGATAGCGCAAGTATGAATTGAAGGGGTAAGAAAAATTATGAAGGATCAGTCACATTTTGCTGAAAGTAACGCTCTTAGTCTGACGAAAAATCACTTGGTTTGGACTCATTATGAGAAATGGGCCACAGCCCCAGCCCAAAAGACCTACATTGTGGAATTTAATTAATTCAAAGCAAGATGAAGACGAATTTTATTTTTTTAATGGACGAATCAATGGCGTCAAGAATGTTACTTTAGAGAACAACATGACGATCCGATAAGTAACGCACCTGCCCCATGTCCTACATAATTGCACCTCCTCTAGAGACATTGCAGTACAAGAGGACAGAAAAGTGAACTTAATTTTTGAGGACACCCTTAACTAGAAGCCTTACACGAGAGTACTTTCAGATGACGCGTTTTTGCAAGATTGTGCCGGTACTGGCGAGTGACTTTACATGTTGTATAATGCAATATGTATTAGAACCTCTATGCTCTTCTACACCATTAATCACACAACCATCGGCTTCTGTGGTGCAGCAGTTTCTTCGTTGTACCCAGAAGACCTGAGTTCGATTCTCGTGTGAGAAGAATTATTATCGAGTATCTATAATATTGATATTTTAATATGCATTGTTTCTCTCTCAGATCAGGTTGGCCCTGATTGGCAGAGTCGATCGAAGTTAGCTTAGCTAAATGAATCAAATCGTGTCGATGGCGGCATAAAAACCTCACCCACATTAAATATTCAAAAGAATATCGTATGCGCTGGAATGTTTTCGCTCGGCCAGGAGTTTCGAATGTGGATCGAGCTCTACGCCACAGAGATGGTCTCATGTGCGTCTTGGGGAGGGTTTTGCAATAACAACAACCAAAATAACACCAAAAACTTAAGAAACTAGCAATAAACTTTAACACTCACCCTCCCTTTTCCTTGGCAACCAGTACACCTTTGAAAGCCCATGGCGAAACAGGCGTGGCAGGGCTGGGGAAGGCAAAGAATGGGACCTGACAACAAACGGTATGCTATGATGCAATTTTTTTTAGTATAGATGTTTTTAACACCCCCCTCCCCTTTCAACACTATCTGGATCATTTAAGAGGCGGGCTCCGAGAGCTCCCTTTGAAACGGCATCGCTTAGATTTAGAGAAAGAGGGAGGGGGAGGGAGATTAAAATCAACGCAAGCAGATACCCATTTTTACTCATAAAGAGACATGTCCTTGTCTTGTGAGCTTGGACTCACAATCGTAGGCAGACGGTTCACAATCTCTCATTCCATCAAGCTGGAGATACAACCATGTGAGAGGTCTTTGACTTAATCTACCCATTTGATCATTGACAAAGGTCAGAAAATCAAACTGACAGCATTTGAGCATCTAACAAGCGGCAACACTATACAGAGTACAAGACTTTAAAATTACGTGTGACTGTACACCTTAAGAAACGTGCCAATGATAGTACTTTAAAAAACAAAAACAATATTAGTAATACTGTAGTAGGGATTTTATGGCCCAAAAGGGATCTCCTTTAACATCCATCTCCGATAGGATGATTTAAGTGGAAGAAAATAACAAACAAGTTCGCTCACTTTGACGGAAGCTGTGTTGGGCACCTCGATGTCCAGTTTGGCAGTGTGGAACATCTGAGGAGGCCGGGCTGGGACATCCCAGGGCCCCGGTGGTGGGCCCGTCATAGCCACGTGCTGACCGTTGAAGGGCTCGTACGTCCATTTCGTGGAACGACCTTCCCCAAAGGTCTCCAGTGTGTACTGCATGTTTCACGGGAAAAAAGCCGGGGGGGGGATAAATTATATATTATTATTATTATTATTATTATTATTATTATTATTATTATTATTATTATTATTATTATTATTATTATTATTATTATCATTATTATTACCTGATATTATTATAACTATTATTATCATCATCATCATAATCATCATCATCATCATCATCATCATCATCATCATCATCATCATCATCATCATCATCATCATCATCATCATCATCATCATCATCATCATCATCATCATCATCACCATTATCATCATCATTACGAAGATCTTTACGCGTAGAAGTTAAATTATTAAAAACGTACTGGACACCCATATCTGGACAACAGGGGAACAAAGGAAATGTTGCGAACATCATATACTCGTGGGAAACGCAAAACTGCATGTTGCACCGTACGGTAAGCATGTATTTGCCTGTCCTTTTTAATTTACGCATCAGATTTAAAAAAATAAATTTGAAAAATCTGCCTGGAAAAAAAACAAGTTTTTATTTTCTTTTAGTACCCCAAACCAGCACGTCTTCAGGCGTTGTCGAAAGACCAGAATGCGTGTCTTCAAGAGGTATTGTACAATTATTAATTATTATTCTTTTAATTAAAGTTTGCGTTCTCCTTTATCTCAGCGAATTCCTGACTGAACAGTGGCAGCGGTACAGAGAATTTTGGTTTGAATTCTCAGAACGACACAAAAGCTCTTGTCATTGAGTCTTTTATGCAGTCTTCAAAGCTCTCTTTTTTTAAATGTGGGTGTTTTGCCGCCCCCTCAACATAATTTAGATCGTTTAGGAGGCAGGCTACGACCCTGCCCGCCACGGCCAGCCCTTAGAATGTGACTTACATGGAAAGCGCTGGAGGACTTAAGTTCGTTGAGCTTCATCTCCACAGCGGGACGTTTGCCGTAGCAGCAGTCCTCACTGACAAACTGAAGCAAGGCGCTCCGGGCCTGATCTTCCGTGATGGTGGGAACACTGGGAGGGATACACAGCTTTTTGGTCGCAGAGAAAGAGAGACAGAAAGAGAGAGAGAGACAGAGAGAGGGAGGGGGGGGCAGAGAAAGAGAGAGGAAAAGAAAGAGAGACAGAGAGAGAGAGAGAAAGAGAAATGAATGAAAGAAAGAAAGAAAGAAAGAAAGACGTAAAGAACGAAAGAAAGATAGAAAGAAAGAGGGAGAGAGAGAGAGAGGGAGGGAGGGAGAGAGAGAGACAGAGAGAGAGAGACAGAGAGAGAGATACAGAGAGAGACCCACAGAGAGAGACACACACGCACAGTGGGATTGAGATAGAGAGAGAGACAGAGAGAGAGGCAGAGAGACAGAGAGACAGAGAGAAAGAGAGACAGAGACAGAGACAATCAGAGAGAGCTCTTAAAAGAAATAAAAACTTCTGCTTGAGCATTTTCCGTCGCTTTTCTCAGGGTTAGCTTGGTTTCTTGTTGAAGTATTTTGTTACAGGGAAATTGATACCATGCATTATATGAACTAACTATAATTAACAACATTTACAAAATTATACCCGAAATCTGTACTCAACTGAGATTAGAAAGTAAACTTTTTTTACAAACAAAACATGACTGCAGGTGAAGAAGGAGACAGTAATACTGGTTATTTTTTACCTTTCAATATTATCTCTTTGTGGAGGTTCCCTCTGTGATTCCTTGTATGTCGGCGGGGGTAAGGACGCTGGGAAAACAAAACAAGGAGCCCCCATGTAAGTGTAGGGAAATATGTGAACCAAAAGAAGGGTATACGGTAAAAACAATATGATAGAAGTCAGTTTTGGGTAAACTTGAGCTGTGACTTGGGTTGGAAAGTGTTTACGCACCTCTTCTGGCCCATCTAAGTGTCCCGGGCTAAATCCTGATGAGTTGCCCAACATTAGACTTGGAAAATATGCTATACTGTGGAAAAACGTGGGCTGTCAAGCATTTTATTTGTTTTTCTCAAAATATCAAAAAGTGGCATCCCCTGTTTTTCCCTTGTGTCCTTCATATAGATAGATACTTTGTCTTACATTCTCACCTGGGTGCAGTGAGGAAAGTTTGCGTTTGTGCCTTTTTCAAGGACACAACGTCGGGCCTAGCAAAACTTCAAACCCCCGTAGGCTACCTTCAAACTCACGATTTTGAGCCCGGTTGCCCAACCACTAGACTACCGACGCCACAAACTCGAACACCACAATTTATTCAAAATAGATGTAATTAATGCTTGCATATATTGATTGATCAATTCATTCATCTTAACCATCCACCTACCCATATACCCACATACCCACCTATCTTCACTCCTTCACTCAGTTTTCCTCCCTTCCAGTTGAGCCACCATCTCTCTTACCTCCCTACCTCTGTACCCATTTCCTCCCAAACTGCTAACCTACCTATCTACCAGGCTATCTACTCACTTTTTTATCGTTCTGACTACCTACTAACCTATACGTATCTATCTTTCTACCTATCTGCATTCATTACGCAAACACACACACACAGACACACACGTACACACATACACACACATATTCTCCTACACACATATAGACATACACACTCAAACAAACATACACGCATACGCTCTCTCTCTCTCTCTCTCTCTCTCTCTCTCTC